ACCGCCTTCATAGGATCACGGAAAAAATATAACCCCCATTTTTGCTCACCCAGACCAATCACCGTCCTCGTAGCACGGTCCTGTATCAAACAATAAACATTAGTGAAGCGGGCTACACACCCATGATCCTCCAGTAAATGATATAAAGAAATAAGACTGCACTTAAGACTTGGTACGAATAGGACATTCATCAACAACAAATTATGACTAAGTCGTGTACGGAGCCAGCTTTAGTCGCAGTAGTCAATTTGCCATCAGAAAGTTGTACCGGTCGAGGTGAAATATCACAAATATCAATAAGTGACTGATAAAAACCAGTCATATGATGTGTAGCACCACAATCATACATCCAAGTGCGGGAGTAATCTTTACCGGTTAAATGTTCAGAAACAGCAGAATCAGAATTATTGGGGCGAACGAGATTAACAAGAGCCTGCCATTGATCGAGACCCCGAAATCAGAAAACTGTGGCGAATTGGTGGCGCTGGTGGCGTTTGCTTTGACCGGAGCGGAGGTGAAATTGTCACGGTCAGCCCCCAGCTCGCCGGAATAAGATCTGCCGGTAGAAGAAGCCGCTGAGGTCCCTCGATTCGCCATCGTATCGCCGGAAGAGCTGGACCTGCCCGCCGGATATCCGACCAATTTGTAGCAGCGCCGTGGATCGTGGCCGGTCCGCTGACAGTGGGGGCAATGTTTCACACGGAAGCAGGCAACGGCGTCATGACTATTCTCCACATACGGAGCACTGACGACCTCGACCGGTGGAGGTTGACTTGGATGATAGAGGTCGCGACAGAGGTGAGGTTGCAAAACTGAGAACATCGGGTGAAGAATTTGAGGAAGAGGCGAGTCGCTCTTCTTGTGAGATTACTGCGTATACTCGGTCCAAAGAGGGCAAAGGGTCTTGGGCCAAAAGAGATGATCGGGCCGACACATAACATTCCTTATCTAGGCCCAACAGAAATTGATGGGTTTCATCATCGTGCCTTCTTTTCTCAAATTCATGGGCAAGCCCACATTTACACGCAAGAGGTGGTTGATATGAGGTTAATTCATCAAATAATTTTCGCAATTTGCCGTAATAAGCACTGATACTTATTCCTTTTTGGACAGTAGAAGCCAACTCACCTTTTAATTGTTGAATTCGTGTGCCGTTAATTTGGGAGAAGCGACGATGAAGATGATCCCACAGATTTTTGGCGATTTCAATATGAGGAATAGAGGATCGAAGGACTGGATCAATTGTATTTAATATCCAAGAAACCAACATGGAATTGTTCACAAACCAATCTTCTAATGCGGGATCCTTGTCTGATGGAGGAGGAATTGAACCATCTAAGAACCCAAATTTTTTTCGTGCCCAGAGAGCAGTCCGGAGAGAAGCAGACCATTCAACATAATTTGTATCTTTGAGAGAGACCGTAGAAATTATGCAACCAGAATTATCACTAGGAGTGATATCATAAGGAGATATTGTTTTATAAGAAGAGGGAGTCGTGTTTGACGACATGACTGAGAAAAAAATTATATGTTAATCAGATCAGAAAAGAAAGAAACAAAAAAACCTGGCTCTGATACCATGATAGAACTAGAGGAGAATGCATAGAGTAGAGAAGAGAAAGATGTATTTTTTTCATTGATCGTAACAGTGAGATTACATCCAATATATAGAGGTTGCACATATTAAATCAAATCAAATCAAATCAAATCAAATATTTAACTACTAAAATTAGCTTAACAAGTATTGCTAATTATGTAATTTTCAGTAAATATGCATTTCATAATATCGTATCCTAGTACTGAAAATAATATAAACTATATAAATTATTATAAAAAAAAGTGTAATATTTTTTTAGCGTAAGTATTAACTTTTAACCATTAAACTAATATTTACAAACAAAAAAGATAGATTTTCTGCAATTACTAGAAATTTAATCATTAGATGTCTTCGAAGTAATTCGACCAATATTAATTTGTTAAAGATATATTTAATTTTAATTGATTTCAGCTGTTCATTATGTTGTATATTTTGTCAAACTATATCTACTAAAGCCAAATATTTTTAAATCACAATATTCACAACCTACCTTTTATCTTTTCTACAATTGCAACTGGCAAAGGTTGAAATAGTTGAAGATTTTCAGGCTTTCAGCAAAGATATGGAATTCCTGTTTTCTGCATAAGAAATTCCCAAAAGAAAATAATCTATTGAATAACATTAATAAGAGTTGGACTATATGTGATTATTAGTATATAACGAGTATTCGATCATGTGCATTTTCACAAACTAGTATGTTTCTCGTGCGATGCACACGGACAAGCTTATCATTAAAACTTTTTTTTTAACTTTATTTAAATATAATTATTTATATTTAAAAATCTCATTACTGGTTTCTTAATATGCATTTTTTCATAATTAATTATCTTGCAATAAAACAATTAATTAATTGACATAATTAATCTATATATATATAATTACTAGTTCATGCATTTAATAAAACATTTAATAAAACCTATTTTCATTTCCCTCTAAAAGGAGTTGTATTTTTTTTAATTAATTACTCACTAACCTGTTAAAACTGTTACACCTTAATATATATATTTTTATTATTTATTATTTGGATCAGTTACTAAATTAATTCCAAATTTGATAGCAAAATATTCAAATGTGTAACGGCTAATGTTGGAACTTAAAGTTGATTGACACATTCAGAGCTGTAACCGCTATATTTGATTGCATTGTTGGAAGAAAAATATGATTGGCACATTTTTTTTTCTAAAAATCAGAAACACTAATAATTTCTTTTACCTATGTTAATTTTCTTAATATATGCCACAAATATATAAATTATTTTATTCATTATACTAATATAAACGTTGCATGATTAAAATGAAATTTAAATCTCAATTAATTTTTAATGATAAAAATAACTTAAGAAAAAGTAATAATTTTTATATGGTAGAAGTATATGTCTAATTAATAAAGAAAAACAAAACGTGTTTTATATATGTACAAATGCACATGATCAAATACTAGTTTCTATAAGCAACTAATTAATTATAGTGCATATTAGACAGGACATCCCATAAATAAATATTATGCATATTAAATGAATAATATGCAATTTTCATAAATAAATATGATGCATATTAAAAAATTAGTAGCAATAAACATTTAAATAAATAGTTCAGCTATTCTGGGAATTAATAACAATCAAAGAAATATATGAAAACTGACAATACAATCATATTGGAACAGGCTTTTCTATCAGTCGAGGACTTTTTACCTGTCACATGTCACATGTGTGTAAATTTTCCTGAAAAAAAAACGCAACTTCCTTGCCAAAAATCTCGTCCGTAACTGATCAATCTCATCT